GAGAGTCGTAAGGGGGCCCCCCGTATGGTCCTGACCCAAAGAGACGGCCCCTAGCTGCTGCCGCGTGCCCCCACCAGGTGCGCCTGCTGCTGGTTCTTGAGCAGCAGCAGCAGCAGCAGCAGAAGCAGCAGCAGGAACAGTGCAGCTGAATTCCCCCAGTGCTGCTTCCAGCTGCTGCTGCTGCTGCTCGAGGAGCTGCTGCGTCGCTTCGAGTCGGTGCAGCAGCTGCTGCACGTTGTTGGGGTCCTCAGCATTTGTTTTGTCGCCAGTACCCTTGTTTTTCTCTGCTGCTGCATCGGGGGGCCCCCCGTTCGGGGGGCCCCCCGCATGCGCCGGGGCCCCCTCATCCTCTACGTGCTGCAGCAGGGTCCTCATGGTGTCCTGGCAGAGCCGCGAGAGCCGCAGCTCGGGCTGTGTAGAGCACCAAATGCTGTTCAAGTCGATGCCTTCTGTTTCCCCTGAAAGCATCTGCTGCTGCTGCTGCTGCTGCTGCTGCTGCTGCTGCTGCTGCCGTTGCTGTTGCTGCAGGCATGCGAGGGGCCTGACGGCGTCCGCGGGGGCCCCGTCCGTTGCTCCGAGGGGCCCCCCGGGCCCCCAAGACGCAGAAGGGGGCCCCCTGAAGGACGCTGCAGCACTGGAGGGGGCCCCCAAGAGTGCATGCGGGGGGGCCCCCATCTTCGGACCGTTGGGGCCCCCCGCCCCGATAGCATCGAGGAGCAGCTGCGAGCGCCGCTGCGCCGACAGCAGCAAGTCAACAGCAACCTGCAGCACAATCATTACTGCTGAGCGTACCCGCCGCTGCTTACTGAACAGCGGGGGGGGCCCCTCCTTACCCTGGGGGCCCCCCTGGGGGCCCCCCTGGGGGCCCCCCTGCGGGTCCCCCTGGGACCCGTTCCCCTCTCCGCCGCCGCCGCTGCGGCTGCTGCTGTCTACCCACAAACCCAAACCCCCTGAGGGGGCCCACAGGGGCCCCCATAGACCCTCTCCCCCCCCGCTCGTCCAGGAGAAGTAAGAGCTTGAGGTACCTCTGCTGCTGAAGCTCAGAGGGGGGCCATCGCAAGGTGCAGCAGCAGAATCATTACAAGGCGCAACAGCTGCGCCCACGAAAGAGGGGTCCTGCTGCTGCTGGTTA